TTCTATCTTTATCTTTAATTTTTGAAAGCCTAACTATGATGTGTCTTGGTGTAGACCTCTTTGGGTTTATCCTGCCTGAGGTTCTTCGAGCTTCTTAGATTTGTAGATTCATGTCCTTCATTATATTGGGGAAGTTTTCTGTCATTATTTCTTCAAATATTCTTCTGTCCTTTCCTCTCATCTCCTATTGGAATTCCCATGATGTGTATATTAGGTCTCTCGTTGTTGTTCCATAGGTCCATTAAACTGTGCTTAACTTTCTAAAGCCTCCACTCTTGTTGCTCTTCAGCATCTGTAATTTTAACTATCTTATTCTCTAATTCGCTGATTCTTTCTTTTGCCTGATTAAATCTGTTAGTAAGTCCTTCTGTTGTGGTTCTCATTTCAGTTACTGTCCCTTTCAGTTATAAGATCTCCTTTTTTAGACCCTCTTTTTGTTCGTGCATTGTTTTCCTTATTTTTTTAGCTCTTTGTCTATGATGTCATTTAGTTCATTAATTAAGTTCAATGTTGTATTATATTCTTCCATTTTTTTCATTATTTGGTCATCCTAGATGCGCTTTCACTCTCTTTGTCATGTTCATTTGGATGGGCCATTGTTTCTCCATTCTTTGTGTGTCTTGTGATTTTTCTGTTCAGGCACTGGAATTTTTGAGGGTGTTAACTTTCTGAATTCTCCCCAGTATCTAGTGGTTCTGCCTACACTACTTTCTGTATAAAACTCTTAGGCAGGCATTACCTTCAGCCTTTGCTTACCGTTTCCTCTCCATCTCTGTGATGGCTCATTTTCCCTTCCTGTTTTCATTAGGATTCGAAAGTTTTAGATCTTGGTTTTCAACTTTCAATCTCTCCCAAACACACCAGAAAACATGCTGTGATCAATCTGTCCACCAACCAGCACAACCACTCAGGTGAGGTATCATGTACTAATCAATCTGTCCACCAGGGCATGGAATCCTCTCTCTGGTTATTATTCCCTTCCCTTCTCTGCGTCTGTGACCAGGTTTTCAGTTACAGGACGCACATCCAGTGAGCCCCCTTCAGGGCTGGGCATTGCCATCCGGTTTTGCCTGAGGATTCCTTCCCTGCTCTGTTGGGGCTGCTTCTATCTGAGCTGGCTTTCAGGGGAAGCACAAGCAGATTTCCTCTGTTTCAGGAAGGGAAGGGGCTGGCACTACACAGAAGAACCTCCAAGAGATCTGTCTTATTGGTTTCAGAGCCCCAGTGGCCCTGAGGTATCGAGGGGGGGGGAATGGGGGGCAGTCTCCTCTTAGGTGACCCTCCTCCTGGCTCCAGGACAGGAGACCTTCTACAGGAGTTCATATCAATCTAGTGGCCAATAGTTACTGGGTGGAGGAGGGATTGTCATGCTCCGAATGGACCCCCAGGGAGGTCTGACTTACTGCTATAAGAGCCCGCCCCATAGTGTGTTGACTGTGCATAGCCTCCACTCAACTTGCCTACTTCCTAGCACACAGCAGTCTTAGTCAGCAGTCCTCAGCACTGACTGGAAGGGGATGCAGACAGACTCAAGTTAATCCCCAGGGAGGTCTATCCTGTTGGTTTCAGAGGCCTGAGCTATGGGATGCACAGGGAGGCAGGTAGAGTGCTAACTAGGGGAGTCGACTCCACTGCAGTGGCCTTCTGTAGCAGTCTGCAGCACCCTGGCAACGAACAGTTACCAGGTGGGGGAGGCGTTGTTATGCTCCAGTTAGATCCCTGCAGAGGTCTGACTTATTGCTATCAGTACCTCCTGGTAGATTATTGGCTGTAAATGCAGATTCCATTCAAGATGCCTGCTTCCTAGTACACAGCAGCCTCAGACAGCAGTCCTCAGCACCAACTGGAAGTGGTGGCAGACTAACTCAAATTGACCTCCAGGGAGGTTTGTCCCGTTGCTTTTATAGGCCTGAGCTATGGGGTGCCCAGAGAGGCATGCAGAGTGCTGACTACAAGAGCAAACTCCACTGCAGGGGGTTTTCCATAGCAATTCACTGCAGGCTTGCAGGTGACAGTGTCTGGGTGGGGGATGGGCTATCATGCTCCAAACAGACCCCCAGGGAGGCCTGTCTTGTTGCTATCAGAGGCCCCCCATAGTATGTTGGCTGTAGGTGTGGCCTCCACTCACAGCAGCCTCAGTCAGCACTCCTAAGCACCAACTGGAAGGGGGAGCAGGCAGACTCAAACTGACTCCCCAGGAGGTCTGCCCTGTTGGTTTCAAAGGCTGGAGCCACGGGGTGTGCAGGGAGGCAGGGGAAGTGCTGACTATGAGAGCAGACTCCACTGCAGAGGGCCTTCAGTACCAGTTCACAGTAGGCTTGCAGCCGACAGTGTCTGGGTGGGGGAGTTGCAGGCACACTCCACATGGATCCCCAGGAAGGTCTGCCTTTTGATTTTAGAGCAGAAGCCTGGGGTCTTGTCTCTTTGTACAGGCAGGGGGTGTGGTAGTTAGGGAAAGAGGCTCTTTTTCTGGGTCCATTTCCCCAGTTCACAGCAGCCAGCATGGCTTCGGGAGGGGGGCAGGGATGGTGGGAGAAGCGTTTTTCCTATCGTATGCGACTTACCGATTCATTGATTCTTGCCTGGCTGCAGTTTCCCACGCTTTCCTCTGCTCCCTGATTCAGAGTCCCTCAAAGCCGAGTGCCATCTCCTTGTTGCATTTCTTGTGTTTTGGGGGAGGGTCAGACTGATGGTCTGTTTACACCACCCTCTTCCTCTGTCCCTCTTTCGATCCTTCCTTCTCACCATCCTGCTGTGCTGCCTTCTGTCTCCTGGGACCTTCCTCCTCTCCACGTCCCTTATCCCTGACTTCTGAGCACACATCCTTACAACACTATCGCTGGAATTCTAAAGTTCTCTTAACTTTACTTTGCAGGGCAATTTTGCACTTTTCAAACCATCCCCATCTCAGCAATGCCCACAAAGCCTCACTTTTCTTAATCAAAAAGTCCATGAGGGCATTTTCCTTCACCAAAGTGTCAAAACTTTCTGAAATAAACGCTGTCCTTCCCCTAAAATGCAGAATGAGGCAGTAGCTTTTTTAAAAAGCAATTTTTTCTTCCTAGGATATCTCAATTAATTAACGCTTTATAGTTACTGCAAAAGTTCCAAGCTCACAAATTTTTTCTCCACGAAGTGAGTGATGAAGGGGGGGATGGGGAGCGAGGACTTCACTTAGCTGATGCCTACAGACACTTCTCCCAAGTGGTTGCCGAGAGATAACAGCCCCCACCAGTCAAAGAGAGCCCAGAATATGTACGTAAATCCTTTATATTTCTTGTTTTAAAAGTCTGGGTATTCTCATTTTGAAGTCAACACAGAAATTTTTTATTTATGGGTTCATTAGGAGAACAGTAACAAAGGGGTTACGCAGTTTAACCTATTACACCAAAGAATCTTCTGTGAGTGTGAAGAACAGATCCTATAAACAGAAAATGCACAGTGGATATGCCCTACCGGAAGCTGCCCTGAAACTACAACATGATTTACTGAAGAGCACACGCTTGTTAGGGGTTCCTGGGGTTGCTGCTGCTGCTCTTTTAAACAGTCACCAGCGATCGGCCGTGTGCTCCTTTCTGAGCCACAGCACCAGCGAAAATCAATTCAGGTATTGCCCGAGCTGCAGTGCTGGCGCAAATGAGCACTAGCCACAACTTTCTAACCGCCAGGAAAATACAGAATCAGCCTTCTAAGGGACACAGGAGGAAGAAGAAGCTGCTCAGGGGGTGTAATTCACATCTCCTTCAAATCGTATTTCAAAGAACTAAACGAGGCTGGGGAACACTTGCGAAACTGCTGGTAGGGAAAAATCCAACAATATCGAAAAGAGGTCTCACCGTGAAGCTAACAATCAACGCACATAAACGCACTTACGTAAGCAAAAACAGCATCTTGGACAGATAGGTTGAAAAGCAGCTACATATAACACTGAATCAAATGAAGTATTATTGGAAGAACTGGGTAAAACTTCATAATATGGAAATGAGGTAATAACCATTAGACACGCAGCTGAAAATCACATTCAATCAAGGAACAAAATGGAGTTTATAATTTGTAGGACTCCATTTTATAATGTCATTCAACAGTTTCCAAAACCAAGTGCCATTCCTGTGAAGATTGTTTTCATAGTTTGCTACTACTCCAGTGAGGAGGAAGAAAGACCCAGTAAGCTCTAAACACTTAGAAAGAAGCACGCTGGGACACGTGTTGTCATGTCTCATTTTAAACAAAGGACGTTTTCTCTGAGCAGTCAACGGAGTCACTTACCAAGCTCGCACAGGCGTGTTCTGGAAAGCGCATTTCTCTCTGCCATACCTCCCCACTGACCGGCTGCTGTCACAAACGCCTGGTTCTCCTTGGCATCGCTTTGTTAATGCTCTATTCATTAATTTAACAAACTATCAGGAGAATATGCTTGGAATGGGCAGGCATTGTCTCTCAACTTCCATTTAATTAAACTCTGCTATTGCAATATGACAGCCAGCACATCACAGGGGGAATGATTTTAAGGATGAAGGTAAAAAGCATTTCAAAGTCCCCTCCTTAAACATGAAAGCATCATCGAAAACTGCCCAAGCACACGCCATCATTTTTCTATACTATGAAAGATGTTATTTCCGGGCTTGGTAATTAATTGGATTCCATGGAGAAATTATTCCAGCATCCTTGATGGCAACATGCTGCCCAAGGCCAGGGACAGAGTGCCAAAGGCAGCCGTCAGCACCCACGCCCCCGCCCAGCTCCTGTCCACCGGCGGGCCTCATCGGGAGTGAGGGCTGGCTGCTGCCTATGGAACCGCTCATTACCTCCCCACAACACGACAGCGCAGAACTCTGATCGCACCGCCTTCAGAGCACGGGACGGAGATGCTCACGCTCCAGTGCACACCGGAAGGATGCAGAGCGGTGACCCAGCATGACGCTGCCTGTCAGGCCCAGGGTGGGGGGCCACCCCCAGAGCCTGCCAGCAAGCGAGGGAAGGGGCAGCCCGGAAGCTCTTACCATCGATCCGGCTGACGAGTTCTTCCAACATTCTCACTTTCATTTGAATCCCAGGCTGGGCGAAGGTGTAGTTGTCCTGAGAAAAACAACAACACAATTAAGAAACACAAAGCGCAGCCCCGAGTTTTGGTTAGCAGTCATCTCTCAGAGAAGGGACCAGGAGCAGGCAGAGTGCTGGCACTGGGCACAGGAGCACAGCCACCAGGCCACTCCATCCTGAGCCTGTCACTCCCCTGCCTCCCACCTGGAAAAGGAGAGCTCCGTACGGGGTTACTGCAAAGGCGAGCGCTGGTTCTGAGACACGACAACGCTACCACGCAGCTGAACGATTTATTAAAGAATCAAGCCTGTCGATGTGTTTGACATGCACACAAAATAAAAACAGTTTCTGAAGGTTCAAAAGTCAGCAAAGGCGAACAGTCTCGTAACAGGACTAATTCAAAGACGAACACGTCTGATCCTGAGAAGCAAACGCCTGCGTGTCAGGCCGTGGAGTCTCACAGTGAGGGAGTAAAGCCAACATCAGAAGATGTGCACCGGGGTTCAGAGCATTTGTAACGGAGCCTTTCTAGATGGAAACGTAACATATTTACATTTAAATTGAGCAAAGGGGCATGAACCTGCAGAGCTCCTAGAGGAGAGTTGTTTGCTGCAGCCACCCGCTGCGCCCGCACCCAGGCCTGCACGCTCAGCACTCTGGGTGAGCAGATGGAGACGGTGCAGGCGCCTGTGCTGATGGAACCGCTGCGTCACACCCACAACCGCATCACACCAACAACTTAAACACTGATCACTGAACAGTCAGGCGTGAGGGAAACACGTGAACACTGGACCCTACTCTCAAGGACAGAGTTGGGTGAACGCAGGGCAGATTCATAAGCTAAGACAGGAAACCTGCGCAGCATTGAGGGGAAAAGAAATCCTAAGTCAGACAGACATGAGACAGGGCCCCAGCTCTACTACTTAGGAGCTGGCACGGCTTTGGCAAGTAACACACCCTCTCTGGGCTCCTGTTTTTTTTGTCATCTGTAAAATGAAGACAGTAGTCCTGCCTTCTAGGACTGTTCTACGGTTCAAGGAAAGAACGCACGGGAAATGTATAAGAGGGTCCGAGACACAGTGGGGCCTCAGGAAATAGCAGCTCCTATTTTCCTTGGAGGAAACCCTGGTGGCGCAGTGGTTAAGTGCTATGGTTGCTAAGGTGGACAGTTCAAATCCACCAGGCGCTCCTTGGAAACTCTGTGGGGCAGTTCTACCCTGTCCTATAGGGTCGCTATGAGTTGGAATCGACTTGATGGCAACGGGTTTGGTTTTTTTTTTTTTTGGTACACTACCAATGGAAACCCTGGTGGTGTAGTGGTTAAGATCAGCTGCTAACCAAAAGGTCAGTAGTTCGAATCCACCAGCCACCCCTTGGAAAGCCTGTGGGGCAGTTCTACTCTGTCCTACAGGGTCGCTATGAGGCTGTGAGTTGGTTTGGTTTGGTTTATACCACTGACCAAGCCAGGGCCCTTTCAATCGCCTCGTACACGTGCAAAAGCTGGACGTTGAAAAAGGTGGGCAGAAGAAGAACTGATGTGTTCAAACTGGTGTTGGTGAAACATACTGAATATACTACAGACGGCCAAAGGGGCCCTGGTGGTGCATTGGTTAAGTGCTCGGCTGTGAACAGAAAGGTTAGCAGTCCAAACCCACCAGCGACTCCGTGGGAGAAAGATGAGGCAGTCCGCCTCCATAAAGATTACAGCCTTGGGAACCCTGCGGGGCAGCTCTACTCTGTCCTACAGGGTCGCTGTGAGTTGAAGTCGACTCAACAGCGACGGCTTATGGACTGCCAGAAGAACGAACAAATCAGTCTTAGAAGAAATACAACCAGAATGCTCCTTAGAAGCGAGGAAGGAGAGACTTCGACTTGCTTACTTTGGACATGACATCAGGAAAGACCCATCATAGGAGAGGACATCGTGTTTGGGAAAGCAGAGGGTCAGCGAAAATGAGGACGGCAGTGAGACGGACTGACATGATGGACCCAAGGACGCCAATGCTCATGGAGATGGCACAGGGCCTGGCAGTGTTCCTCCTGTACCCACGTAAGGTCACATGCGTCGGAGCCGACCCAACGGTCACGAACAACAACATACTACTACTATTACTGCCGCTGTCGCCCCTCGCCACTGCGGGCCAGGCGGTTCTGACTCGTGGCGGCCCCATAGGGTTTCCAAGGCTGGAACTCTCTATGGAGGCAGACTGCCACATCTTTCCCCCGCCGGGCCGCTGGGGTTTTGAACCACCACCCTTCCAGTTAGCAGTCGAGCGCTTTAACCGCTGTCATCACTAACAGAGCACAGATAAGCCAGGCCGGGGCTTCAGCCAGAGAGGAATGTTGACACCTACCACATCAGCCCAGGAACAGTGCTGGAAGAGGAGGGTCTTACGCAGAGCCTCCGCCAGGGATCAGGGACCATTTTCAGAACTAGGGTTTCAACTGGACTCTTGCAGCAACGGATGTAATACACACTCGTTGGTGACGAGTATGGAAGAGGCGAACAATGGCCTCCCAAAGATGTCCACGTCCTAATCCCCAGAACCTGTAAGTAGGTCATATTACATGGCAATTAAGGTCACAAATCTTAAAACTAGGAGCTTCGGTGGTATAGTGGTTAAATGCTCAGATGCTAACTGAAAGGTCGGAAGTTCAAACCCAGCAGCCGCTCTGTGGGAGAAAGATGCGGCAGTTTGTTTTTGTGAAGATTTACAGTCTTGGAAACCCTATGGGGCAGTTCCACTCTATTCTATAGGGTCACCATGAGTTGGAACTGACTCAAGGACAGTGAGTTAATCTTAAAATAGAGAGGTTATTCTGGATTATCCCGATGGGTCCAACATGATCCTGAGGGTTGTTTAAAAGTGGGATGGGGAACAGACGAGTCGAGAGCAGAGTGAGGCAGTGAGGACTCGCCTGCCCAGCTGACCTTTACGACAGAGGAAGGGGGCCGTGTGAGAATGTGGCGGCCTCTAGAAGCTGGACAAGGCAAGGACGGATTCTTCCCCGGAGCCTCCAGGAGGCCCTGCCGACGCCTGGACTTCAGCCTGGGAGACCAAGTCAAATGTGTGACTTAGAGAACGGTGCCGGGACAAATCCGCGCTGTCTCGAGCCGCCAGGCTAGGGATTGTTTGTCACACCTGTCAAAGGAGACTCAGGAACGTCTCAGGGCGTGCTGTGTGGGAGCCCGCGGCCCACTGAGAAATAAAAACACAAGAAGAGCATCTGGGGCAGTCAAAGGACAGAGCTGTAGGTGACGTGTCTCTTGCAGCCAGGACTCAGGGCGGTGAGCTCTCAGGAGGAGGTTTAGACAGGCTTACGTGGGGCCAGCTCTGGGGGACAGCGGATTATGGCAGCTTTGTCCCCAGGAAGTCAGGCTGGGGCGGACGCCAAGGCCAGGTGGCAGCAGAGCCTCACAGGCCTCAGTGGAGGGGGAGGCTGCAGCCCGAGGTCACAGGCAGGGTGGCCTGGTCTGCGGGGACCATACACTGAGGGAAGCGTCAGGTTAGGAAGCAAAGTCTCTGCAGCCTCTCAGATGACGGGGAACAACGCAGTGCTTTCACAGCTATGCCAGCACCTACCCTGGGTGAAGGAGGTGGCGTGCACACAGACCCTGGATACACAGAGGTGACGTGCGCACGTGACCCCGTAACAGGGACATGACATCTGCACACACCCCGGGCACAGGAGGTGATGTATGCACGCCCCCTCAAGCACAGGAAGTAATGTGTGCACACTCACCCCAAGCACAAGATGTGACGTGTGCACCCCCCCATACAGGAGGTGACGTGTGCACGCCCCCCCCAGCACAGGAGGTGACGTGCACGCCCCCCCGGCACAGGAGGTGATGTGTGCACCCCCTCCCCATACAGGAGATGACGTTTGCACGCACTCCCCAGCACAGGAGGTGATGTGTGCACCCCGATGGGCACAGGAGGTGATGTGTGCATGCCCCCTGAGCACAGAGAGGTGCCGTGTGCACACGGCTCTGGCGCAGGGGTACACGGGAGGGCAGGACTGGGTGGGCACTGGGTCAGCACCATGGCCCAGGAGGGCAGGACTGGGTGGGCACTGGGTCAGCACCACGGCCCAGGAGGGCAGGCTCAGGAGCAGGAACAGAGATGAGGCTGTGAGAGCAGCCGGTCAGGCCGGCCTTCCCTGCGTGCAGAGCGGATGAGCCACAGAGCGTCTAGGCTGAATCCTGCAGCCCGAGGAGCCCACGGCAGAGGCCTCACCCTCACAGGCCGGCGACAGCCGACAGCTCTCACGGCACTTCCTGCTCCAGGGCTCTCCAGGGAAGCCCAGCACGGGCTGCGAGGAGACCTCCAGCTACAGGTGTTTCTGCGGTCCAAGAGCCTGACTGAAAAGCACTGGGGTGCGTCTGACACAGTGAGCCTCTGTGTGGGCGTATTCAGTGCACACGCACCCACGTGCACTCACACACACACACCCTCACACGCACTCACACACACCCTCACTCTCACACGCACACACACACACATGCTCTCACGCGCTCACACACACACGCACGCTCTCACACACACACACACACACCCTCACGCTCTCACACGCACTCACACACACACCCTCACGCTCTCTCACATGCACTCACACACACCCTCACGCTCTCATACGCACACACACCCTCACGCTCTCACGCATTCACACACATCCTCACGTGCACTCACACACACACCCTCACGCTCTCACGCACTCACACACCCTCACGCTCTCTCACACGCACTCACACACCCTCA